ATAATCTGCACCTCTGTCACTATGGCCACTATTTCATGAGCCCATTGGGTGACAGGATTGGTGGGGGAGAGGCTAACAGGAGTCCACAGGATTCATTCCAACCACTTGATTATTTAAGTACTCCTCTGTTAAGACCACCCTTTGGAGGTACATGCATATCTCTGGGAGTTGTGTCCACATATCTCTTCCCCAGACTTCCTTGTCCCTAATTTTCCAAACATGTTCCTTCTAATTTTCTGACCATCCAGACAAACCCTTGGCCACAGCCTGGGAACTGATCTATAATTACAATCTGGTCATTTCTCCTTCTAAGTGAAGTTACCAAGCAGGTGACTACTCTGTGTCAACTATCCACAGGGCGCTTCCTGAGTGGTACTTTCTGTCACTGAAGTATGCCACAGGACTTACTTCATATGTATCTGATCATCCGGTAGGCTTAGCTCTGTTAGGGTCTTTGGTATTCTGACAATTCAGTAAATGAGGCCTGAAGAACTGAATTCTTCCCCAGAAGAAATAGTACTACTATTCCATATCGTGGTGATATTTCAGATCAACAGAACAACAAACAGATACTGGGTTCAAACCCCAGTACTACCAAAAAAAAAAAAAAAAAAAAAAAGTAAAAAATCCCAAAGAAATACAACTACCTAGGGCGAGTATTTTTGTTGGCCAAACAGACATCATGGATTGGTAATTACACCATGATTAAAAATACATAAAAAGTGCATTCACGGTGGAGTGGGTGGTAAGGGAGGGGGTGGGGGCAGGGGGGAGAAATGACCCAACCCTTGTATGCACATATGAATAATAAAACAATAAAAAAAAGTGCATTCACAAAATGGTGGCCAAAGCTGGCATTCCATAATATTTTGTTGCAAATTCTGCTTCTTTGTAGTAAGCCTGAATATACTGATATGCTGTCTACATGTGTATTCTGTAATTATGAATGTGAATGCAATTTAATAAAATCTTTAAAAATATATACACATATGTATATACATACATATATATGCATATACATACATATACATAAGAAGTTTTATTAAATTTTTTTAGACTTGAAAAGCTCCAGAATGGTAATATGAGAACTGGAAAACAAAGATATTCATTACATATTGTTGCTTCCTCCACAGGGATTTTAAAAACAAGCTTAGAATTCTCCCTGGCTCAGAATTCTCCAACATTTCTTCATGGCTCACAGCATAACATAACATTCTTAAGGCATATTATGTCTTTTGAGCTGATGTCCTGTCAAAATACTTAGCCCTATTAAAGGATGAACTGTGCTACCTAAAAAAGAATTCTAGTTTGTCTACAAGCATAATGAAATCAATTATATTCATATTGTTGAAATAGTTCTAACATATATGAGTTGTATCTTTCAAACAGATAACTATGGACATAACCTCACCTGTAATGGCACGGGTCACTAATACAGATCCTGACTCCTGGGCTTTGTTGCAACAGTTGGAGCCCTGTGGGTTTCTGGGAATACCAGACTGCTATGGCTTCACCAGAGTCCCAGCATTAGGTGTGGCAAACCTGCTACATTCACCATGTCTTCTTCAGTCAGCCTGCTACAGTCCACAAATACCACATGTAATTCTGAGGCTCCATTGTACTCTGCGGACACAATAACTTCAGCCATCTTCTTTTTCCATATAATTCTAAGTCAGTGTGGGCTGGGAGAGGAGCCAACACTTTTCCTCAGAATTGAAGCACGGGTTTTTTCTAGTCTGTCTCTTCCTCTGCCTGCCCTTCCACTTACACCATGTACACAACTGTGTTCTTTGGGTTAAATTGATTGATTTTTAGGTCCAATGGTGGTGCTCTGTTACATTTCAAGGTTTAGTGAACAGACTTAGGAATTATCTGTGTGTCCATAGAGGTCAAGGAATAAGATTCCAGGACTGGCAAGTCCTTGTTTCCTTCTTAACCAATGTATCCCTCTGAGAAGTTCTCAAAGAGGGCTCTTCAGTTACTCAAAAGTTCCCAGTCCCACATGGCTTGATTGGATGGGATGAGGAATTCTGGCCATGCAGCAGCAAAAAATGCACTCATGGACAAGAGTTGAGCTTGCAGTACAAGTGAGCCTTCCCCAGGTTCCACTTTGTGTCCCATATGGGCCCTAATCTACCTACCAATGGGTGCCATTCACATCCGAGATGGTTCCTCATAGGTTCGCTGGCCTACCTGCCAGTCTTCTCTGGAAAGACCCTCACAGAAAAAAAGTCAAGTCAGATTGGTACTTATCAAGCAGTGAACACACATAACAGAACTTATGACTCTTTCTACCACCATAGAACAGAAGTTCCCTCTTCTCATCTTGGCTAATGGAGCTGTGACTCCTCCATTCCTTAGCCTAGAACCCATGGAACCACTTTGAAGTCCTGCATCCAGGATCCTGTATCCCTGTCCACCCAGTCACCGGAATTGTCTAGACTCTCTTAATCTAGTCACGTTGGTAAGCAAAATTAACCATCAAGGTCATTGTCCCCAAGGAAAATGAATGAGAGCAAGGATCTCCTTGACAGTGCTGTACCTGTAGGTAAAGGGAAGAACCACTTAGATCTAAAGCACATTGGCACCCAGTCCAAGTGCTCCCATGTACACACTTGTGTATCTGTATCCTGTCCCCTAAGCTATACCTGAGAGCTTTGTATCAACCCCCAGAGCTCCCAGTATCATGCTCTGAGTGCAAGATACACTAAATAAGTTGTTCTTAGCTATTTCTCAAAATACCCAAATAACTTAAGTTATATTTGACACAACAAACCACTTACTATGAAACATCATCTCAGTGGTGATTAGCATAGAAGACACCCAGAAGCAAATTCCACTTGCCTGGGAAATAAAGTGTACATCCAGGTCACTGGGAGAAGCAGAGTCCTTTAGCAATCCATGTGGTTTGCATGCCTGTGAATGCTGGCTTCAGAACTGATGCAGAAGGCATCTCCCCACTAGCTGAGTCACACACACACACACACACACACACACACACACACACACACACACCTACATTTTCCCAATCCTGGTTTTCCCCACCTTAGTTCCTCCTGTGAATGCTCATAGCTGGCAATGAAGACACTTTTGTAAAATGGGCCATCAGAAGAGTACCAAGTACAAATAACAGGCCCCAGTGACAGAAGACAGGGACATGGGAGAGGCTGGGACTTGGCACTGAAAGAAGGAATAGAGGCTGATGCAGAACAAGAAGGGTGGATTTAGTTCTCTAGGGAGGAACCCATTCACAGTCTGAGAGTTCTGGTTCTGTGGCTGTCCAAAGAACTAGACAGAAAGAGAATTCTACACATGAAAGGGGCTGAGGGAATGTGGCTCATCCCAAGACAGAGGAGCTGTGAGACAAGTGGCAAATGTGATTATGTCCACTAACCCAAGGAGGGAGCTATCCTGCTGCCTTGGAGCTGGCCAGTGTGGGAAAGCTTCCCAGTGGTTGCTACCAAAAGAAAGGCAATTTCATCATTTCCCCAAATCTTCGTATTTTGTCTCCGTCCCATATTTCCCTGTCCTTACAGTTTCATCCAAATTCTGGTGATTCCTCAAACTGAATTTCCAGTCTGACCCTCATTCTGGATTTCCCCACACCCACCAGACATTTCTGCTGGGACAGATTGCTATTTGTCAGACAGAAGGTATGACTTGAGTGGTAGAGCACCTGCAAAGCTACAAGTTCAAACTCCAGTCGCCCCCGCCCTCCACCTGCCAAAGAAAAAAAGCCAAGTCAGATTTCTACTTATCAAGCCATGAACACACATAACAGAACTTATGACTCTTTCTACCACCACAGACCAGAAGTTCTCTCTTTCTCATCTCAGTCAATGGAGCTGTGACTCCTCCATTCCTTAGCCTAGAACCCATGGAACCACTTTGAAGTCCTGTCTCATCCTCATCCTGCATCCAGGATCCTGTATCACTGCCCACCCAAGCACCAGTTTCTCCCTCTGAAATCTCTCTCCCCTCTCTTCATTTCACTAACTATGACTGAGCATTTTCTTCATCCTGATGCTCAGATCACCAATCCCCCTTTATTCTGATTCTCCTCTCTCTACTTTAACCCATCCTTTGTGCCACTTTCTTGCCATCTTCCCTAAGGGACTGCTTTTGTAGAACTACTTCCTCATCTCTCCTCCCCCCCAAGTGGTTTCATTACTGTATCCAGTCTTCACTTCAGACCATAATGTGCTCTACAGTCTGGACCACATCTTGTTTTTCCAAAGCTCCCCAATGAGTCCATGTTCACTCTCCAATCCAGACCTTCTTGTCTGTCATAGACGCATGCTCAAAACCTGCCCCCATGACTTGGCCAAGTTCTTCCATGGTCCCAATTGCCACTACCCATCCTTCAAGGTGATGTCTAAGTCCTGTTAATTAAGTACAACTACTTGTCTGGATCTTCTGAGAGGCAGACCCAAGATGGGAATGCACCTGCAATGATTTTATTAGGGGAAATGTCTATGAGACAAATGAATGGATGCCAAGGAGGCTGAGTGAGCCTGCAGGTGTGGTCCCAAAGGAAGGAGATAGGAAAGGAAGGTGGGTAGAAACAGCCTGGATTGCTGGTTGCTCAGTCACTGGCTCGGGGCAGCCACAGGCAACCTTGGCCTTGGAACAAACACTGCTTTGAATTTCAGAGCTTCTTAGTCCTTGGGCAATGACACACCTGAAGCTGGAAACCATGGTCGCCACACCTGGTTTAACACCGTGGGTACACATGAATCTCTTCCTTCTGCTAATTCATACTGCACCTAGAATTGGCACCACCTCATCTGGAGCTTACTTTTTTTTTAATGTCACTTGTTTGTATTGTCTCCCCAAACTCATTGAACCAGGTACCATGCTTTTCACTGCTTTGGTACATGATCTACTACCTGGAAATTCCTAAAACAGGTGGCCCCTGGCTTATGACAGTTCAACTTACAATCTTCAACTTTACAATGGTGCATCCTGTAGGAACTACTTTAAAATTTGAATTTGGGGCTGGCAGAATAGCTCAAATGGTAAGAGTGCTTGCCTAGCAAGCATGAGGCCCTGAGTTCAAACCCCAGTGCTGCCAAAAAAAAAAAAAAACCCAAAATTTGAATTTGGCTTTTCTCAGGTTAGTGATTTGCAGTCAGGTCCTTTGTCCTGATGTTGGGCTGTGGTCGCCACCATAGCTCACAGTCAGCCCCCTCTCGTGTGGGTGACACTGACACCACAGTACACTTGTTCCACTGCTATTTGGCCATTGTGGTCTGTGTTCTCCCTTCCCATCACGTCTGCGAAACTCCCAGCTGTGTCTCCCTACCCGTAAACTTTTCTGCTTTAAACTTTCAGTATGATATTCACTAAATTACACGAGACGCTCACGTATTTAATATAAAATAGGCTTTAAATTAAATCATTTTCTCAGTTGCTGGCAAATGTACGTGTTGTAAGCATGTTTAGGTAGGCTAGGATGCTTGGAAAGTTAGGTGTACTACACCCATTTTTATTGTGATACAATGAGTTCATAAGGACATAGCCACATCTGTACATTGCTACAGAGATAAGTACTCAATAAATACTCTTAAATTCTGAGTCACACATTCATTATTCATTGTGAGAAGGCACGGGTTAACAGGGACTGGAAAGAGCTCTTCTACTTTATTCAGATATGCTATTTATTCAGATCAATAGCAGCAAGAGGAGAGATGATTTGCATGTGTGTGTGGAACTGAAGTTTGAACTCAGGGCTTCGTGCTTGCAAAGCAGGTACCCTACCACTTGAGCCAATCTGTTTTGCTCTGGTTGTGTTGGAAATGGGGTCTCATGAACTATTTGTCTGGACTTACCAGGAACTGTGATCCTCCTGATCTTAGTCTCCCAAATAGCTAGGATTACAGGTGTGAGCCACCAGCACCTAGAAGGAAAGATAATATTAAAATAGCCCTTTGGGACTGAATGCATGGCTCAAGTGGTAGAGCACCTGCCTAGCAAGTGCAAGACACCGAGTTCAAAAACAAACAAAAAACCTCACACAAAAATAACCCTTTGAGGGGGACAGGAACTAGAGAAAAGGTTAGTTCGAGAAGAATTAACCTAGAAGGTAACACACACGCACAGGAAATTAATGTGAGTCAACTCCCTGTATAGCTATCCTTATCTCAACCAGCAAAACCCCTTGTTCCTTCCTATTATTGCTTATACTCTCTCTACAACAAAATTAGAAATAAGGGCAAAATAATTTCTGCTGGGTATTGAGGGGGTGGGGGGGAGAAGGAGGGCGCGGGGTAGGTAGTAAGGGAGGGGGTGGGGGCAGGGGGGGAGAAATGACCCAAGCATTGTATGCACATATGAATAATAATAATAAATAAAAAACCGTTTGAAAAAAATAATTAAAAAATAACCCTGTGGAGAACAAGAAGGGCTCAGAATTGAGGAGAATTTATTGTGCAAATTATGAATCAATTGGAACGAAAAGGGGAAGAGGAAGAGAAAAAAGAAATCTAACAAAAGAATGCTTCTCTGCTCCATTACTGCAAATACAAAATAAAAACTAATCCAGTCACAATTCTGTTGTTGAGGAGAATGTCAAAGTGCTGAAATGACCAGTCGTGTCTTGCTAGAGAGAAGAATTCACAAAGATAACTCTGTGGCAATTTCAAAAAGTGGCAACCAGGCTGGCTCTTAAAAGAATCTAGACCCTAAATTTATTTTTTAAAAAGAAAAAGAAAAAAATACCAGATTTTAAAGGAACAGTTTTGAACAAGCTAGTTCGAGGAATGTTGAAAAGCCCTGGGGACACAAGGTGTGAGTAGCTCCTACTCTAAGCCAGGCTATGGATTCCATCACCCTGTAGGCTCCCGACAGGATGAAGGACATTCTGTGTGTTTCCTGAATGTCTTATATGCTCTTGCCTCTCCTTTTGCAATCCCTACACGTTAGAGGAAGGGCACAGATGTGGAGGTTTTCTAAAGATACAAGAACAGGATTTCAGAAGCCCTGCATTTCAGAGTTGGGATTTCACTTTGCTCAGGACATTTGCTTTAAATTCCTCATTATTTCTTGCTTACATCCAAGAGTTAGTCATTTCATAATTACATTTTAAGGGATACTTTTGATCCAACAATTCCTGATACTTAAATAGTTTATTAAAAACTTTAGCATCAGGATTCACCCACCTTATGTATTGCTCAGTTCAATTTGCCAGTGTTTGGTGAGGATTTTTGCATGGAGTTTCATGAGGAAAGCTGGTTTATAATTTTATTTTCTTGCAATGTTTTTGTCTGGTTTTGGTATCAGGATACTTGGGGATTTCCCCTTATCCTTTATTTTCCTAAAGGGTAAGATTGGTAATATTTCTCCTTTAAAGTTATAGTACAGTCATCCTTATGAACTCAATTTCTTCAACAAATATAGGGGCATTCGGATTTTCCATTTCTCTGTATTACAGTGTTTGAGAGTTATATTTTAAGTTATTTATGCATTTCATCCAAATGCATTCCATCAATTATACAGGCATAAAGGGCCAATATTATAATGTTGACTTCTTTTTCTTCAAATATGTCTTGGAGCTGGGCTGGTGGCTCATGCCTGTAATCCCAACTACTTGAGAGAGTGAGATCAGGAGGATCGAGCTTAGAAGCCAGCCTGGGCAAATAGTTTATAAGGCCCCATCTCCAAAATAACCAGAGCAAAATGGACTGGAGGTGTGGTTCATGTTTAGAGAGCCTGCTTTGGAAGTGCAAACCCCTAAGTTCAAAAACCCAGTTCCACCAAATATATGCACACACACGTGTGTCTATGTGCATGTGTGTGTGTATAAGATCTAATAAGGATACCTTTCATTCTTATTTTTGTTTTCATTCTTTTAAGCTTGGTCAGTCTTGCTAAAGTTTATCAATTCTCCGCAATTTGTTGTCACATCGTTCATTTATTTCTACCTTTATTATTTCTGTCCTTTTGCATACTTTGGACATGCAAGGACTCTTCGTCAATTTCTTATGGTAAAAACATACATGATTTACTTCAATCGTCTCTAGTACAAGTGTTAAAGCTTTAATGTCTCTTAAGGAACTGTTTGGCTGTATCTGACATATTTTCATATGTAAGATTTCTTTTTTGACTCATGAGTTATTTAGACCATTGTCTGACTTGCTAATAATATTTGGGGATTTTTCTAGAAGTCTTATTGAGTGATTGATTTCTAATTTAATTCTGTTGTTGTCAGATAACATATTCTTTAAGAATTTTAAGACTTATTCTATTGTAAAGCTGGTAGCCAGTCTTGATGAATGCTCTGTGTCCACTTGGAAAGACATTGTCTTACTCCGTTGTGCTAGCATTCTTTATAAACATCAGATAGTGCAGGGAGGTGGTGAGGTGGTTGGTATCTTCTCTGTCCTTACAGATTTTCTCACCTAGTTCTTCTGTCATTCACTGAAACTCTTCAGTGATGGTTGTATATTCATCTACAGACTGTTTTAGTTCTTCCAGGGTTGCTTTCACAGCTTGGAATTCCTCTTTTGATGCTTGGAATCATTGTATCTTCCTGATAAAATGTCTCTATAGCTATTAATACTCTTTCCTTTAAAATTCACTGTCATACATTAAAATAGCCACCTCACATCTCTTGTGCTCACTGTTTTCACCATATATCTTTTTGCCTTCCCTTTCCTGTCTACCTGGCTCTGCCTTGTCCTTAAGGTATGTATTTTCTAGGCAGTATATATTTGAAGTCTTCTTCATATTTGTATATTCTGTTTATACCAATGTAATTTTTACATGGTTGGTTTTAATCTACAATTTCATTATGTGATCTATGGTTTCCTCATCTGGTTTTGGTTTTTGCTTTTTCCTTTCCTGCCTTCTTCTTCTTTTTTTTTTCTTTGTAATTCCTGGATCACAGATTTTTAGTGGTTATTCTATCAATTACAATATGCATCTATTTAAGATTAATATCATACCACTTTATATAAAAAAAAATCTTGCAACAGGGAAATCACATTTACTCCCACCTTCATTTAGGAATGGGTTGCTGGGGATTGAATCCAAGACCTCGTAAATGCTAATTATCTGCTCAGCCACTGATTCTCACTATTAGCCTCTTTTTGCTATTTGAACTCAGAGTTTTGACTTCCTGGGCAAGTGCTGTACTACTTGAACCACACCTCCAGCCCTTTTTGCTATAGTTATTTTGAAGATAGAGTCTTGCTTTTTGCCTAGGCTGGCATGGACTGCAATCCTCCTATTTATGCTTCCTGCTGTAGCTGGGATAAGAGCTATGCACCACCACGCCCAGGTTTTTACTGTTGAGATGGGATTTTGTGGACTTTTTGCCCTGCCTGGTCTCAAACCACAATCCTCCCAATTCACACCACACCACCACTACCCACTTGTGCTATTCTTTTTTTTTTTTAGACAGTACTGGGGTTTGAATTCATGCTAGCTAGGCAGTCACTCTACCACTTAAGCCACTCCACCAGTCTTTTTTTGAGATGGGTTTTTTTTCAAGATAGGGTCTTGGGAACTATTTGCCTGGGCTGCCTTTGAACCATGTTCCTAAGGAGTTAGGATTATAGGCGTGAGCCCCTGGTGCCTGACTGCTTGTGCTATTCCTAACACATATTTAAATCTATGTAAGGGGGAATCCCTGAAATATAAAGTTATTATTTGGCTGTGACATTACTGTTCACAGAAATTAGGAGAAAAATATATACTCTTCCATTCTTTCCCTTCTCTGCATTTTCCTGAGAAGCTGAGTTTCTAGCCAGGATCATTTCTCTTTAACCTGAAAAGTTGTCTTCAGCACTTCTCGTAGCATAAATCGGATCATGACAAATGCCATCAGCTTTTTAGAAGAATCTGCCTTACCCTCAGTGTTGAAGGTTCTTCTTACTAAAGGTAGAATTCTGGGTTGGCAGGGTTTTCTTTCCTTCCAGCAGTGAAAAGCCATCTCAAGGAGGAGGTGCATCCTGTGAGGGCACAGGTTCCAGGCAAATGCCAGGGTGCACTTGAAGCCCAGCAGAGCCAACACTGAGCAGCACTCCCTGCAGGAGAACGAGGCCTACCGGGTGCATTCGTACAGCTGCTATG